ACCTTCTTTTAATTAATTTCCTTGAGGTTTAATAGTGTGCTTAACAGGCTCAGTAGTATCCCTTATCCTCTCTAACATAGCGAGCCAAGAATAAGACAAAGACACAGAGGCTGTTAGTAGACAATTCTACCTGCTAGTGGAGGTTACTGCTGGTAATGCATCACAAGGCAATAAAATACATCAACCATCACTATATTTCAACCTCTAGTGTTCCAAGAATAGATGCTCTGTATTTTTACAAGGGAACTGTAATGAAGGATATAAAGAGAATGAACTTAATGGAAACACTAAACATCACCGTTCCCCATGTAATCTTGTTTTCTTTGGACAATGTTTAATTGTTATTATTAGCAAAAAAAATCCTGACACTCTACAGACTGAGGACTATGGATGTGAACATATTTTAACAGTCAATGTAGTAATATGAGTAATCGATCCATAGTTTTAAGGCCAGAAGGGACCATCGGATTATCCCATTTGACCTCCTGACAAACCCACATCCTAGAATTTCATCCAGTTCTTCTCTGCATGATTGCACATGTCCATTCCACTTAAGGCATGTGCACATGCAGCCCATTGGAGCTGGAGATGTTTTTCTCTTGGTGGTAGCTGTTGTGGCACGTTTTTCAGACCTAGAATCATTTATGGCTCTTTTCTGCACCCTCCCTGTAGTCACATCCTTTTAAAAATATGGACACCAGTACTGTATGCAGAAATCCAGTATCAGTGTCAGCATGCCTTATACATTTCCATCGACTCTGCAGATGGAAATACGAATGGGGACTACCCAGAGATGATGCTATTGCCTAGTGAAAAATGTAGGTTTCAGATTTACTATTACAGATGTAGACTAAGTGGCAGATTTTCAGCTGCTCTGCTCCAGCTCAGTGAGAGGGGGAGTGAGCAGGGAGCTCTAACTGATTCCTTGACTCAGAGCAGCAGGGGAAAAGCTCTGACTTATACACTGGGTGTGAAGTGCCTCTGGGATCTTATACCAGGGGATGGTCGGGGTAGGGGCAGTAGCGTAGCTAGCGGGGTGCAGGGGAAGCAGCCGCTTCCCCTCAGCACATTTTCCCCAAAGCCGCGCCTTTCCAAAAGCGGCTGGAGGAGCAAGGGGGGGCACAGGCTGGTTTCGCTGCACTCCGCCCGGAGCTTTGGCCAGGGAGCGGGTCCGGGGGGTCTGGCCACGCTCCGCCTGGGGCTCCGGCTGGGGGAGCGGGTCCGGGGGGCTCGCTGTGCTCCTCCCGGGTCTCCGGCTGGGGGAGCGGATCCAGGGGTTTCTCTGCGCTCCGCCTGGGGCTCTGGCTGTGGGAGCGGGATTCAGCGCTCCGGCCTGCAGAGCGGGTCCGGGGGTTTCGCTGCGCTCCGCCCGGGGTTCTGGGTGGGGGAGCGGGTCCGGGGGTCTCGCAGTGCTCCGGCCAGCGCTGCAACTGGGGCGGGGAGTGGAGTCTGGTGCTGCGGCCGGGAGAGGGGGTCTGGGGGTTTCGCTCTGTTCCTCCCGGGGCTCCGGTCGAGGGAGCGGGGGGTCACAGCATGCGGGCCGGAGGAGCGGGGGGGGGGGGGGGCGCGGGCGGGGCCCCCCCCCCGCCGCGGCCTGTCAGCGCGACCCGCCCACAGCCAGGCTCCGCCAGCAGCCCCGGGCAGGGCAGCACCCCCAGGCTGAGCGGGTGAGCCGGGCTGCAGCTCGCTTGGACCGCGCCTGGCGGGGCTTGCTGCCTTCTGCCCCCACCCCCCCCAACGGGTAGCACCAGCGCTGAGCCTGGGCTGGCACTGCATGTGGCGAGCCCCTCCGAGGCAGTGACAGTGGGGTTTGTTCTCTGCTGCTGGCTGGGCCGGGCCTACTCCCATCCCCCAGCCCACTCCCATCCCCAGTAACCCCTCCCCAAGCTCCATACCCCGTGTACGCCTCCCATGTACCCCGTGCCCCTGCCTTTCCCTCCCCTTCACCTCCCCTCATACCCCTGTCCTCTGCCACCCTCCCTACATCCTCCCCTCAAGTCAACCCCCCTGTCCCTCTCCCTCCACATCCTCCCCTCCACCTCCCCTCAAACCCCCTGTCTTCTGCCAGCCTCCCTCTACAGCTATGGGGGGGCGGCGCGGCCGGAGGAACAAGGGGGGGCGCAGCATGGCCGCAGTGTGGCCGGAGGAGCCAGCCAAAGGGCGGGGGGACGGTGTGGCCAGAGGAGGAGCCAAGGGGGGTGCCTTTTTTATGTTTGCTCCCCTTGCTCTTAGAACCTGGCTACGCCACTGGGTAGGGGAACACTGTTCTCACCACTACTCCCCACCTACTCCAAGGGTTGAGTGGGTGGCTGGTACAGGAGGTGGCAGACCAGCCTCTACCACTTCAGTGTTCTCCTGAATAGGAGGAATTCACAACTGGTCATCTCAAGCCATTTTAAGGCCACTTTGCACTACTTACATGACACAAAATGGACCTAGACTGGGCAATCTGGTCCTAAAAGTGTATTGATGACACACTGTAATTTTTGAATAAAATTATAAACAAATCTAGGTGGCTGAGCTTTCCAGTCATGTCCATGTGACCATCCACCAATGTGGATCTTGCACTTTTGAGAGAGAGAGAGAGAGAGAGATTAAGTCATTTGCAAAAGTCCCATGCAGAATCAATGGCAGAGCCATGATTAGAATTCAAAAGTTCCTGTTTCCAGTCCCATACTCTACAAGTTAACATTCTGGCTCCCCCTCAGTATCTATCAGCAGTGTAACAAGGGTTGAATCAATCCAGCTGGCCCTGGTTTGTCAGACTTACAAACTAGATGCTGCAGAAACCATTCAGAGGGCCTGACTTTGGGCCACCCTTCTATTTATTTCTGTAGATTTTATATTGTACCTATTCAGGCTCTAGGCAAAATCAACTTGCAGAACAGGTTTCAAAGATCACATTTGGCCCAAAATTTTGATCTTGGTGAAAGAAAAGGTTCTTACAAAATTTAATACAATCAAAAACATTTCTATTTTTTCTTTAGAGTCCAATGAAAAGGTTTATGTTTTAACAAACACTCCCCTATAGTGTTTGCAACCTAAACATAACTAGTGCAATCTGAAATTGACTAGAAGCCAATTCTAAACAAAGTGAAACTGAGAAGTTTATTTTTTGGGGGCAGTAATAATGAATGCCCATTACTATACATTACAACAGTGTAAAGTGAACTTATGTAGATTAATTGAAGTGTGCCTAAATCTCTATATCAGGTCTGATAACCATTGTTAATTGTGTAATTACATATCAGTGGCTCCTAGAACTTTTAATCAATATATCAATTTCAATTACACTTAATTTTACACCGAAAGTTACCCCTCCCCATCTATAGAACATCATTTTATTTTTTATTAAATTGTCAGAAGGAGGTGACGTGTCACACTGAATTACAGTACTTTTAAAATAAATAATGGATTTACCCAGAGATTTTGCATCCAATTTCCAACTGTCACTAGAAAATCCTGGGAGAATTTCCTCCTTCACCCCTTCCAAATTGTGGAAACAAATTTCTGAGAGGTATCTGCTGCCAATACTTAAAAAAATAATATTTCTAGGAAATAATAGCAATCAAAGTTATAGACATCTTATTTCCATCTTTAGCACACACTTTCACTTGACAGGTAAAAAGGGTGCTTAAAGTTGAGCTACAAAGGAAAGAAAAATTCAATTAGTGCCCTTTTGATTCTTTAGGGTGTGTTAAAAAAAATCTGCATTTTTACCGTAGATTGATCAGTAATGTAAAGTCTAGTCTTTCCTGTTTTTGCTGGAAGACTCATTGGGCATCTGAGAGATATAGATGGGTGGCTTCCTCAAACTTTAATAGAAAAGTGGGGGAGGGTGGTATTGAATCCATGGGTACATGGCTCTATCCCAATTTGCAAAAGCTTAAATCATAAATAATAAAATGCCATAAATCTTGGATGTAGGGAGATTAATGTATAGCAAAATGTACCATTCTCTAGGTACTTCAAACATGTCTTATAAACAAATCACAGTGTTAAACTACTGAAGTCACTTTGACTGGATCTCTTCTAAAATAAAAATACTGATTACAAAAATATTGTGTTTAAAGGAGGCATCATTCAGCAGACCCCATTGAAGCTAGCTGCATGATATATGACATGCACTTTAAAAAGAGCAAAAGTATTTTGTACAAGGTTCAAATAGTAACCCTGAACACTTATAAAGTGCTTCTTCTTTCCCCCCAAAGCACCCATCTAATCCTCACAACATGCCCATGAGGTAGATCAGTATTATCAGACAGAAGCAGAAACTGAGGCTGTGTAGCTCCCTATGGCCATAAGTAACTTTCTCCTTTGAGTCAGCAGCTACATTAGGATTACAACTTTCTGATTCAAAGCCCCAAACTCAGTCTGCATGACCACAGCTGCTGCCAGTACTAGCTCTCTAGCTTAATGCAGGGAAATCTTTTTAGGAAGGAAAAAGATATATTTCCGCCCAGTGGCTTATCCTTCGTGATTCTGATTCTTTTACCCACACAACATTTTCGTGGACTGGGCCCCATATATTGAACTCACTTTTTCCCCAGCCGGGCCTATTCAAAATACAACAGCAGTGGAAGGTTGGCTTCCCATTTCTCTATTGGAATAGTGTGTACCCTCTTCAAAATCCCCACCAAAAACATATATTTTCTAATGAAGACAGAGGGGGCAAGGCTCAGAACGGATTGTATTGAAATAGCTGCTTGCTGCTCCAATCCAGCAGGACAGAGACAAGCTCCCCTCCCAGAGGACTCCTTTGGAGGAATTTATGCTGCCAAGCCTTTTACCGTATCTCAACATAAATTACATATCATGTGTATGCATCCATATTTATGTATTGGAACAAATCCCACTCACCTTACTCACATGTGTAGTTCCTTTGAAGGTAATGGGACTAGCTGTATGAATAAGGTAAGCAGGATTTCTCCCAACGGATGCTTACATAGAAACACACTATATTTTGATGACTGATTTTTAAAGGAATTAAGCACCTATAAATGCAGGCAGGTGAAATGGGTGCTTTTGAAAATCCCACTATGTGGCTAGTTGCATCTTTAGACATCTAAATACCTTTAAAAACCTGACCCTAAACCACCGGTAAGAGGTATTTTACCAGGAAAATGTCCAGCTCCATTTAATGGTTACTAGCTTAATAGCCCTCCTTGCTCATCGTAACACATTTGTGATAGGCAGGGGATACTTAAGGATACTTAAATAACACTAAGGGTTCTCAACATAAAACAACATGACACACACACTGAATATATGCAATCAACATGGGGTGATGAATATGATGTCAATGAATAGAGAGTTCCTCTTGTTAACTGGAATTGAAGCTGCTCTTAGCTCTGAGCACTCATCCAGTCATCTTCATCATGCAAAGTGCCGTAGGATAAGCTGTTTGAATCCGGCTGTATTTTGTCAATCTCTTTTTTTCCTGTGGGAAACAAAAAAAACTCAATGAAACAAATCACAATCCTGCCAATCCATTATTTTTCTGTTAAAGGCTCCTCAGTCTAGACGCCTTTTGTTTTCTTTTGATAGGCTGTGGAAACAGTTAAGAAACAATTTAAGAAAGTCTTTGAAAAAAATCAATTGGAAATAGGAATAGAAATGAAGAAAGAAGTATGTTTATTAAATATGATAGGAGGATATTTCTGCTTCAATGCTCTCCATTCATTCCCCACTCCATTACCTGATGCTTTTAGACTTTTAAACATAGATGATTGGCAAATATTTGACAAAGAACGTCCAAAACCATGCTTACCAGGAATGTGTCCACAATCAATATAAGGAACTTGCAAATGCTCCTCTTCTCGATTTCGTGTGATTACAAACACGCCAAGAAATGACAGAAGACACCTACAAAGGCATTGTGAAAATAAGGTTAGAAGCAGCTCATTGCATTTGAAGTGTGGGTCTTGTCCTGGGCAGGGCCGGCTTTAGCAGGTGCGGGGCCCCACACCGGGTTGCGAATTGTCTCGCGCCCTCCCCGCCCCAACTCCGCCCCCTCCCTGCCCCATTGGAGCCCTCCCCAAATCCCCGCCCTGGCCCCGCCCCCAGCCCCGCCCCCTCCCTGCCCCATTGGATCCCTCCCGAAATCCCCGCCCTGGCCTCGCCTCTTCCCCAAGCACGCTGCATTCCTCCTCCTCACCCCTCCCTCCCAGGCTTGCGCTGATCAGCTGTATGGCGGCGCAAGCGCTGGAGGGAGGGAGGAGAAGCAGGACGTGTTTTTGTTTTTTTTTCCCCCCACTCTGCCGGCAGCCCCGGACGTTGCAGAGCCCTCTTAGGCGCGGGGCCCCATTCCGGGGAATCAGCTTAAAGCTGGCCCTGGTCCTGGGTAGCCGTGTTTCTCTCTCAACAGCTTCCATATCTGAGCTGCTCAGTTTACAAGTAAAGAGAATTAGTTTTTCATGACTGGCAGCCCAGCAAACTCATCCAGGGCTCAGTGGGTCTGTCTAAACAGCAAATAAAAAAACATGGCTGGCCAATGCCAGCCGACTCAGGCTTGCATGGCTCAGTCTCTGGGGCTATTTCATTGCTGTGTAGGCTTCCGAGCTCAGGCTGGAGCCTGAGCTCTGGGACCCTCTACCCCGCAGGATCCTAGAGGCCGGGCTCTAGTCTGAGCCCAGACGTCTACACAGCGATGAAACAGCCCTGAGGTTTTTCTTTGCTGTGTAGACAGACCCAATGTCAGGCTGGGCTCTTAACTGGGAGTGCGGTTTGAGAAGATAACAAAGGTTCTGGGGACCAAATTATGCTCTCGACAATCCCTTGGCAGCTTATGGATTCCTGTGGGTTTTCAAAGGCTGTTTGCCTTACTCACACACCTAATCTCACTGACTCCAAAGGAACTGATGTGAGAAAGCTGAGCTGAGCCCCAAACTGAGCCACAGCAAGGAAAACACATTTGCATCCTGGAACAATTGTTTGTGGAGTATCTAGACTAACATTTACAGTTAAATTGATTATTAGTTAACTCAAGTTACAACACAACCAAAAACTCTAGTCTAGACAGTCCCTTTGTTTCGCTCATTTGACTTTTGTGTCTCAGAACCAGGCTTCTGGCCGGCAGTGATTTTCAACTGCTTGGTAAGTGTCTTCTGTCCCTCTAAGGCTGTACACAACATCAACTTCACGCCTGCCAAGTGTGTGCATTTAATTTGCTTATCTTCATTTTCTACCACTTTCACTACAAACACTGTCAGTCACACAAACCATTAAATAGTTCTATGGGGCCGCTCAGTCCTACCTCCAGTGGGAGTGGTCACATACAATTGTCAGTTGTGTTTGGTTGACTACATTAGGGCCTGGCATCTGATCAAGAATTTTGGGAACTGTTCTTCCACTTGTGTGTTAAGTATCCCATTCCCATCAACAATGATCTCTCACCTATCACCTGAGCCTTTACTGCACTGGCAACTCCTGAGGAATCTGTGGCTGCTTCTGTTTCACTTGGCTGTATGACGGGTAGGCTGCCCTTCAAGCATTTACTGCTACCACTTATTTAGCATGACAGGATCTATAATCACCAACAGACAGATTGTCCCTTCCTATCCAAAGGCAACAGGAGAGAGGCATGCCGTTACTAAAGTGAGCATGGTGCCTTCTGTGTGATTAACTAACAGTATTGCCCATGGCTAGTAGCAGCAGAGAACAGCAGGTAGAAGATAACATGGAGGGAGGGTCTTTTCTAGCACTAATCAGTACATACTCCATAATACGATCATTGATGGAAAACAGCCAATGATTTGTCTCATTTACAAAGGGAACATGTAATGTTAGCTTTTCATTCCATTGGGGAGAGTGGGAGAGATAGGGGCTCACAAATGGCAAATATTAATATTTTTACAGGTTTGGATTCAAAAACAGGCCCTTATAACAAAACACAAATATTAGACTTTGTAATGTTTTTTATCCTACTGTAACAGCTGCTCCCTAACACATTGCAATGAAATAGGTTTCTTCTTCAGGAGAAAAGGAAAAGTTGTTTGGAAAGGTAACTGCTGTTTCGATACAAACTTTGTTACAGATTTTCAGTAAATACACTTACCCGAATAGAAACATGAACACACTCAGCAAAGCTGCACCTTGGAATTCCTGATAAAATATGACCCCTAGAATGTGACAGAAACAAGAAATGCAGATCTTGAACAAATTCCAAGTGATGTGAATTACCGATGACAGGGTCAGAAGGTAGGTTATGATCAAGTGGAAAAAAATCCCAAATACGTCAATACAAATTTTGGGTGGGTTCATATTATATGCCCATATTCAGTATCTATGCCTTTTTTTAGATAATAGTAATTGCATATATCTTAATAAGATAAGATCTCACTCTACCAGGTTTGGACTTCTTGCTTGTGTTATTAATTGTTCAGTATAGTCACATTTTATATTGCCAACAACTGAAAACCCTTGTTAGTGTAAAAGATACTTTTAAAGAATAAAACCTTGTTGAATTACATAGAGGTACTTACACAGTGTTTATTCAGGTCAGGCTCAGACTGAGGGCTTGTCTACATGCAGAGTTGCAGCAATTTAACTAAATGTGTTGTTTTAAACCAATAAAGTTAAGTACAAAAGGCTCTGTGGACACTCTTACTTCAGATTAAATCAGGTTTATTTGGGTTTAGCTTAGACAATTAGGAACACATTTAAAACAGCAATAAGTTTCTCTTAAGCCACATAGGGGCTTGCACCATTTTAGCTCGTTTAACTAAACAGGTGCAGATTTGTATATAGATCAGAGGTATTCAAACTGGTTCGTGGACCACCAGTGATCCGCAAGCTCCATTCAGGTGGTCCACAGATAGTTCCCTGTAAGGTGCGCGCCTGGGCGGCTGCACATGAGAGAATGAAGGGCCACTCATCTAACTTTATGTCAGTTCATATTGTGGGGCTGCCGCAGCAGGGGAGAGAGGGAGAGACCCCCCCGCCCTCCTTCCCAGCCCCAGCTTGGGGACTGCCATGGCGGGGGAGAGAGGGCACAGCCATCGTATTAGAAAGGTAAGACTACCGATATTAAAATATGAGTTGTGTGCTTTTATTTGTAGAAGAAAAAAAGTTAATTACTATTAAGGTTTTTTATATAGCCCTTTTATCCAAAGCGCTTTACAATAGTTAGCTAATGGTACAAACAACATTTGGAAAGATCATTAAGTGGTCCGCCAAGACCCTCAGCAATTTTCAAGTGGTCCGCAAAAAAAAAAAAAAAAAAAAAGTTTGAGAACCACTGATATAGATGATCCTGAATAAGGATGTGGCCTTTAAAAAAAGTAGGAACAAGACCAAACTCTCCATATGGTTACTCCAGTGCAAGCCCTTTTGGCCAATGTCTCCTCTCGGTCACAAAGTGCAGGTCTGTTCTAACACAGCTGCTGAGACAATCTTCATGGAACTCCCTTTACCATTAATGGAAGTTCTGAATATTAAATTTCCTGCAGACCAATGACAGGACTGCCCCTGTGTACGTTAAAATCGGTCATAAATATTATAGCTGTATAATTTTGGCTTATTGCTGAAACAGGATCTTTAGGTACATTTATACTACAATAAATTAAATAAATACATAAACAATTAGGGCTTCAAATGATTAAAAAATAATTATTATTAATCGCAGTTTTAATCGCAGTGTTAATCAATAATAGAATACCATTTATTAAAATATTTTTGCATGTTTTCTACATTTTCAAATATATTGATTTCCATTACATCACAGAATACAAAATGAGCACTGTACACTTTGTATTATTATTAATTACAAATATTTGCACTGTAAAAAAGATAAACAAAAGAAATAGTATTTTTCAATTCACCTCATATAAATACTGTAGTCAATCTCTTTATCATGAAAGTGCAACTTACAAATGTAGACATGTCAACTCTAAAGTTTTACATTGCTTTGTTTTTGAGTGCAGTTATGTAATCAAAAAAATCTACATTTGTAAGTTGCTCTTTCATGATAAAGAGATTGCACTACAGTACTTGTATGAGGTGAATTAAAAAAATACTATTTGTTTTATCTTTTTTACAGTGAAAATATTTGTAATAAAAATAATAATATAAAGGGAGCACTGTACACTTTGTGTTCTGTGTTGTAATGGAAATCAATATATTTTAAAATGTTGAAAAAATCCAAAATATTTATAATAAATGTAAATTGGCATTCTATTATTGTTTAACAGTGCGATTAAAACTCAGATTAATTGCAATTATTTTTTTTAATTGAGTTAATTTGTTTTGAGTTAATCATTTGAGTTAACTGCAATTGATTGACAGCCCTAAAAAAAATAAAAATCTGAGTCTTAGAGCCCGGGTCAACAGATTTGGGCTCATGCTGCGGGGCTTAAAATAGTAGTACAGATATTCCTAACCGGGCTGGAGCCCCAACCCCTTGGCCAGGTTTCAAAGCCTGGGTTCCAGATCCAGCCTGAATGTCCACACTGCTATTTTTAGCCCCACAAGTCTGAGTCAAGGTGCCACAGGACCCTCTGTTGCTTTCTAAGTCTGAGTCATAGAATCATAGAATATCAGGGTTGGAAGGGACCTCAGGAGATCATCTAGTCCAATCCTCTGCTCAAAGCAGGACAAATCCCCAGACAGTTTTTTTTTATTTTTAAAAAACACACACACCCCCATTCCCTAAGTGGCTCCCTCAAGGACTGAGCTTACAACCCTGGGTTTAGCAGGCCAATGCTCAAACCACTGAGCTATCCCTCCCCCCAAGTCAATTGACCCGGGCTCAGAGACTCAGTGCGGCAGAATTTTTTTTCAGTGTAGACGTCGTCGTCTTTCTCTCCTCTCTTGTTCTTTCAGTGCAGACAATTTCCAAGATTTTCAGTCTCTTTTTAATGAGAGCAAGTTCAAAGTTCTCACCCAGAATAAAACGTTATAAGGTTTAAAGGCCTTTGGAGTATTTTATTTCCTTCACTTAACCTAGAATGCAGCCTTCTGAAATATAATACACAAACTACTACAAAACACAGCTGTCTGTCATTTGAGTAGCTTGCCACACTATTAAAATTACTTTACCAGCTAGGATATGGAGACGCCAATGTACACATGGTAAACACATTTATGGTACTTCCAGAGGAGGCTAATACAAATGACAGTACCTAATAAGCCAGTACAGCAGAATAAACTGTACATGGCTGTATTGTACTGGAAAAGTTAGAATCTGATGGCATTTAATTTTATTTCAAAGTTCTGAACTTATGATCATTTTCAAAATATACACCTGTCATATTACATAAAGATCTCTCCCTGAAGATAAAAAAGTGACTTGTTTGCATTCCTGATTCAAAGAAGAGAATTCAATCTTGCTATTTAGAAAGAGCTTTTGTTTGGATAAAAAGTAAAAACAAACCTGCAATGATGGCGCTGGTTGTGAAGAACACAAAGTTAATCGGCACAACGACTGTTGCATTGTAGAGCTGCATAGCTTGATTTAAGAACCTAAAAGAAGGCAGTTATTACATCTCCTGGATACAAAGTGTGCTGTGCACTAAGTGTAGTAATAGGTGTAATACTTTCACATCAAAACAGCTAACAGCGCAGTACAAGTTGGTGTCTGCAGTAGATATGCATACTGGTTTTGACCCTGCATAGTACAAATGAATAGTGCAAGATAAAAGATGATGAGCACAGGAAATCCAACTCTGAATCAATGAGAGTAATGTTGTATGACTGCCAAATTATTCCTGCCTATTAGCTGGAGTAAAATCTAGCCTGGGGACACAAAGCTAAATGCTGATTAGCATGAAGAGGCTTAAGTTTTTGTTTCTTCAGACACCCACCCTCTTCCCCTTTTTAAGAGCTTGATCCAAAGCCCACCAAAATCAACAGGAATCTTTCCACTGACTGGGCTTTGCATCGGGCCATTATACCTGGGATAGAATCATAGAAGATTAGGGTTGGAAGAGACCTCAGGAGGTCATCTAGTCCAACTCCCTGCTCAAAGCAGGACCAACACCAACTAAATCATCCCAGCCAGGGCTTTGTCAATCCGGGCCTTAAAAACCTCTAAGGATGGAGATACCACCACCTCCCTAGGTAACCCATTCCAGTGCTTCACCACCCTCCGAGTGAAATAGTGTTTCCTAATATCCAACCTAAACCTCCCGCACTGCAACTTGAGATCATTGCTCCTTCTTCTGTCACCTGCCACCACTGAGAACAGCCGAGCTCCATCCTCTTTGGAACCCCCCTTCAGGTAGTTGAAGGCTGCTATCAAATCTCCCCTCACTCTTCTCTTCTGCAGACTAAACAAGCCCAGTTTCCTGGTAAGTCATGTGCTCCAGCCCCCTGATCATTTTTGTTGCCCTCCACTGGACTCTCTCCAATTTGTCCACATCCTTCTTGGAGTGGGGGGCCCAAAACTGGACGCAATGCTCCAAATGTGGCCTCACTGGTGCCAAATAGAGGGGAATAATCACTTCCCTTGATCTGCTGGCAATGCTCCTACTAATGCAGCCCAATATGCCGTTAGCCTTCTTGGCAACGAGGGCATACTGCTGACTCATATCCAGTTTCTCGTCCACTGTAATCCCGAGGTCCTTTTCTGCAGAACTGCTGCTTAGCCAATTGGTCCTCAGCCTGTAGCAGTGCATGGGATTCTTCCTTCCTAAGTGCAGGACTCTGCACTTGTCCTTGTTGAACCTCATCAGATTTCTTTTGGCCCAATCCTCCAATTTGTCTAGGTCACTCTGGACCCTATCCCTACCCTCCAGCGTATCTACCTCTCCCCCCAGCTTAGTGTCATCTGCGAACTTGCTGAGGGTGCAATCCATCCCATCATCCAGATCATTAATGAAGATGTTGAACAAAACCAGCCCCAGGACCGACCCTTGGGGCACTTCACTTGATACCAGCTGCCAACTAGACATCGAGCCATTGATCACTATCCCCTGAGCCCAACAATCTAGCCAGCTTTCTATCCACCTTATAGTCCATTCATCCAATCCATACTTTTTTAACTTGCTGGCAAGAATACTGTGGGAGATAGATTATGTTTCTGAGCAAGGAAGCAAGCAGGAGATTTGAGCCTTTATTCCGTTTAGCGCAGAGGAATAAGGCCTGGTCTCCACACAGAAGTTAGTATAGTTCTCCTTATTTTGGTGGGAGCTGGCATGTGTTCACACACATCTCCCATTGCAAGATCACTGGATTTGCATTTATTTAATGAAGCCATTTTGCAAATGCCACAACTCTATTTTGGTGGCAGTTAAATCAATTTAGCTCCAGTGGATGCATCCCACTTCTTATATAAGTGAACAGTCCTCCCATTACTATCCCACACTGCACCAGTCACTGCAGAATTGACCTCTCTGTGGGGATCAGCATGCCTGGAAACCACTCTCTGTTTAAACAGCTTTGGCAAATCCACATGGGCCCCATTTGGAAGCCACTTTGGTAGCAAGCAACTACCATTTCTCAGAAACGCACAATTTTTTGGAGAAAATTAAAAAGAGCTATCATGCAGGCCTCATGCATTTGTATGGACCCTTCTGGAGCTCACTGCCTTCAAAGATAGGTGGGAGGAGAAGCATGTGCAATCACAGCTGGGAAATAGTTGGCAGAATATCAAAGTGTACAAGCGCCTGCTATCCCCAAAGACAAAAGTCAGCGTCAGAGCAGGAGAAAGGAGTTCACCAAACCTGCCAGCACAGGACAAACCATGCCATCTCCAGTAAAGCACCCAAATCCTGCCCTTTTTATGGTATTTAACCTTAACGTTTAACTTGACTTGTGCCCACACACCACGCAAGACTCTCACCCCTGTTCCAGCTCCTGTACTCTGAATAAAAGGGGCTTAAAAAGCCACAGATTCTGACAGGGAAGAATACCTCCTTCCCTATGTCAGAGGTAAACAGCCATGGACTGTCTGCTGAGGGCCCCCACTAGGATTGCCAAATTCTAATTGCACAAAACTGAACACCCTAATCCCGCCCCTTCCCCAGACAACGTCCCCTTCCCCGAGGCCCTACCCCCCGCTCACTACATTTCCCCTCCCTCGGTGGCTCGCTGTCTGCCACCCTCACTCACTTTCACTGGGCTGGGGTGGAAGAGGGGGTAAGGCCTTTAACTGGGGGTGCGGGCTCCAGGGTGGGGCCAGAAATTAGGGGTTCAGGGTGCGGGAGGGGGCTCCAGGCTAGGGCAGAGCGTTGGGGTGTGGGAGGAGATGAGGGCTCCGGGTGGGGGCTCTGGGGTAGGGCCGGGGATGAGGAGTTTGGAGTTCAGGAGGGGGCTCCAGGCTGGGGGGTGGGGCACAGGGGTGCAGGATATGGGAGAGGACTCTGTGCTGGGGCAGAGGGTTGGGGTGCAGGAGGGGGTACGGGCTCTAGGCTGAGGGTGCAGGCTCTGGGGTAGGGTGGGGGATGAGAGGTTTGGGGTGCAGGAGAGGGCTCCAGGTTTGGGGAAGGGCTTAGGGCTGGGGTAGGGGGGTTGGGCACGGGCTTACTTCCAGCGATTCTTAGTCAGCAGCGCAGCGGGGGGACTAAGGCAAGCTTCGTGCCTGTCCTGACTCCGTGCTATGCCCCAGAAGCAGCCAGCAGCAGGTCCAGCTCCTAGGTGGAGGCATGGCAGGCGGCTATGCGCACTGCTCTCGCCTGCAGGCACCGCCACTCCAGCTGCCATTGGCCGCAGTTCCCAGCCAATGGGAGTGCGGAGCCAGTGCTCGGGGGGGGGGCAGCGCATGGAGCCCTGTGCCCCTCCCCACCGGCTAGGAGCCGGACCTGCTGGCTCCTTCCAGGGCGCAGCGTGGAGCCATTACAGGTAGGGGGAGTAGCCTGTCTTAGCTCCACTGCACTGCCCACCAGACTTTTAATGGCCTGGTCAGCAATGCTGACCGGAGCCATCAGGGTCCCTTTTTGACCAGGTGTTCCGGTGGAAACCGGACACCTGGTCACCCTAGCCCCCACCCAAGCATTGATGCAGGGGTGATGGCAGGCATCGGGGTGGGGCCACAGTACATAGCACCATGGAGATTTTGAGCAGCACCTCTCCCCACAGGCAGCTGGGGACAGGTTGATGTAGTTTAGTAGCCACGGACGATCATCTCATTTGCACTAGGGGCCACGTTGGCTCCCAGAGCAGCAGAGTTGGGAAGGCACAAAAAGGTGATTTACAGTTACCTTAGCCCCGCCTCCCTTTAGGCTACATGTTCAGTGCGGCACCTCTCAGAAGCACAACACAGAACCTCACCCGTAGCCTCAGCTGGAGTGCAACGGGGTTGTGCACTATACAAGGACGTGTAGGACAACGCTTGGATGTATGTGTTCTTACACCAACCTTCATGGTCTATTTAATCCAGTAACAAAAACAAAGCAATTCATCATGTTGAAGGAGAATGAAAGTCTCATGCAGAAGTATTACAACCTGCCACATCCATATCTACCCATAGGATTATGAATCATGCCTGTGAACACTGGAATGTATCTTTGTAAATTCAGTGTCACTGCACCCCCCACATACTGTATCCTGCCAACAATGCATTTGAAACAGAAAGAAATATTAAGAGATGGCAGAGTGTTTTAGAAACCTATAAAAAGAACTATGCTTAAACGTTTCATTGGTACGATATATGTGAATAGTAAAAATCCAAACTCTGATCTGTTTTAGCCATTAAAGTAATTGCAAAGTTATTTTAGTGACTGTTGAGCAGTCTCCATGGTGCTTTAAAAATAAAGAAATCCTACATATCCACAGGATAGTCAGGATTTTGAAGTCACTGAAAACACCTCATTATTTTCTCTCATTTGCAACATTCTTAGTCTCAGGGACCGAAACATAGATGCTGATGCTTAGCAGCAAGTCCCCAAAAGATGTAACAAAAGCTGTTCTGAGTTCTCAAGGATCAGTAAAATAAACTAACTTGGTGAGAGATCTAGGTAAAATGGGGGGGAAAAAGTCAGGAGTAACAGCATTGTCTCCTTTTGAAGAGTCTGCTCAGGTGGAATGGGAGAAGACAGATATTGGGCCCAGGAAGCAAAGTGGCCACATTTTGCCTTTGTTTGAGTTTTGACCAAGTGAAGGAAGAAAAAAAAAATCAATCTGCCGAAGGAGAAGAGAATCATTCAGCAGCTTCCCGTTTACCAAGCTCTATTTCCTCTCTTAAATGCCCTGAACTCTTCTCCCAGCAAAGATCTGGGTGTAAACTATGCTACAATCTGTGACAGGGAGTTCCAGAGTCACTGCAGAATGATGCACGGGCTTTCTTCAAAGGGAATCCTGATTCCCCTATGATAGCGCTGCCACTAGAGTGCTAGGCTGGCTATTTCATTAAAAACAATAAAAACAAACATTCCAAATTCATCTGGAGCAGCCTGTACAAGTGCATTGAATGGTGCAATCTGCACCAGAAGCATAGGGACAAGGATAAAGAGAATGGATTCTCCATTCAGCTGGGAATTCTATTTTACATTTCTGATGGCAGCAGCAGTCTCCAGTGGCAGCAATACAATGATCACTTAGCAGGCCAGAGCCCAGCAGGAAAAATCCTGATTTTGCAGAGTGCTCTCCAAAAGTTAACCATTTCCTAGAGAGGCTCAGCCATACCTAGCTTGCACTTCAGGCACAAATTTCTCAGAGGCAAAACACAGTATGCAGATTTAGCCGAAGGGGATGGGAGGATAATCTATTGCTTCCACCTTAGGACAAAAGGTGAACATAAATCTAAGGGCAGATCTAGGCTTAAAATGCTGCATCGATGCAGCTGTAGCACTTTAATGAAGACCCTCTTAGCTGAAGGGAGAGAGGTTCTTCTGTCGGTTCAGTTAATCCACCTCTGTGAGAAGCTCTTTCACCAGCGTAGTGTAATACTGACAGACTCTGGTCGTCGGTGGCTGGGATCGAACCTGGGGCCTTTGGAGCTTAGTGCATGAGCCTCTACTGCATAAGGTAAAAACTGGCTCTTAGTAAGGCTGTAGAGCAGTCTCTGTCTGTCTGTCTCTCCCCTCCCCCGCACCCCCACAAGGTGTGTGGGTTACAATAGCACTGTCTACACTGGTGCTTAGGTTGGATTGCGGATGTGATTGCAGAGCCATTGGCCATTATCTTTGAAAACTCATGGCGATCGGGGGAGGTCCCGGATGACTGGAAAATGGCTAATGTAGTGCCCATCTTTAAAAAAAGGGAAGGAGGAGGATCCGGGGAACTACAGGCCAGTCAGCCTCACCTCAGTCCCTGGAAAAATCATGGAGCAGGTCCTCAAGGAATCAATTCTGATGCAGTGATCAGGAACAGTCAGCATGGATTCACCAAGGGCAAGTCATGCCTGACTAACCTAGTTGCCTTCTATGATGAGATAACTGGCTCTGTGGATGAGGGGAAAGCAGTGGACGTGTTATTCCTTGACTTTAGCAAAGCTTTTGATACTGTCTCCCACAGTATTCCTGCCGGCAAGTTAAAATAGTATGGGCTGGATGAATGGACTATAAGGTGGACAGAAAGCTGGCTAGGTCATTGGGCTCAACGGGTAGTGATCAACGGCTCCACGTCTAGTTGGCAGCCGGTATCAAGCGGAGTGCCCCAAGGGTCGGTCCTGGGCCAGTTTTGTTCAATATCTTCATGTAAGGAGTCGGACTCACCCCTGCGGCGCCTCCTGCTGGTCGTCCATGGGAATTAGCTCGTTGCAGCTCCGGAAGCGCCCTTTGCAGGCCGGTGTCCCACTGCCTCTTGGCCTCCGTGTCCCTCCCAGGACCCGGTGCCCCTTTATCTGGGGTGCTGCCCTCTGGCAGTAATCCCTTTCTCTTTGGGTCTCCCCTCCCATCACCTTGCCTCAGAATAAGGCCACTGCCAGTCACCAACTAGCCCCCGCTCCCTGGGGCAGACTGCAGTATAAGCCACTCAGCATCATCAAGGTTGGGTTTGGACCTGCTGCCTTTGCCTACCCCTGGGCTGCCCTCTACATCTCCCAGTACCTATTTGCCTTTTGCTAGGCCGCAGCCCGGAGCTTTCCAGGCTGGAGCTCCCTGGCTCCTCTGCCTTTCCCCAGCCCTGCTCCACTCAGGTACCCTGTCTCTAGCTCCCTGCAGCCAGGCCTATCTCCCTCTACAAACAAAGAGAAACTGTTTGGGCTCCTGGCTCACAGCCTTTTTATACAGGCCAGCTGTGGCCTGATTGGGGCGTGGCCCAGCTGCGGCTACTTCCCCAATCAGCCCAGCTTTTAGAGCTGCAGCCCTCTCCAGGGCTGCTCTCCAGCCCTCCCAGGCAGCAGCGGGTGTCCACCCCCTACACTTCATTAATGATCATTAATGATCTGGAGGATGGCATTGACTGCACCCTCAGCAAGTTTGCAGATGACACTAAACCGGGAGGAGTGGTAGATACGCTGGAGGATAGGGATAGGATACAGAGGGACCTAGACAAATTAGAGGATTGGGCCAAAAGAAATCTGATGAGGTTCAACAAGGACAAGTGCAGAGTCCTGCACTTAGGACGGAAGAATCCCATGCACTGCTACAGACTAGAGACCGAGTGGCTAGGCAGCAGTTCTGCAGAAAAGGACCTAGGGCTTACAGTGGACCAGAAGCTGGATATCAGTCAACAGTGTGCCCTTGTTGCCAAGAAGGCTAACGGCATTTTGGGCTGTATAAGGAGGGGCATTTCCAGCAGATCGAGGGACATGATCATTCCCCTCTATTTGGCATTGGTGAGGCCTCATCTGGAGTGACTGTGTCCAGTTTTGGGCCCCACACTACAAGAAGGATGTGGAAAAATTAGAAAGAGTCCAGCGGAGGTCAACAAAAATGATTAGGGGGCTGGAGCACATGACTTATGAGGAGAGGCTGAAGGAACTGGGATTGTTTAGTCTGCAGAAGAGAAGAATGAGGGGAGATTTGATAGCTGCTGTCAACTACCTGAAAGGGGGTTCCAAAGAGGATGGATCTAGACTGTTCTCAGTGGTACCAGATGACAGAACAAGGAGTAACGGTTTCAAGTTGCAATGAGGGAGGTATAGGTTGGATATTAGGAAAAACGTTTTCACTAGGAGGGTGATGAAGCACGGGAATGGGTTACCAGAAGAGGTGGTGCAATCTCCTTCCTTAAAGGTTTTTAAGGTCAGGCTTGACGAAGCCCTGGCTGGGATGATTTAGTTGAAGATTGGTCCTGCTTTGAGCAGGGGGTTGGACTAGATGACCTCCTGAGGTCCCTTCCAACCCTGATATTCTATGATTCTATGTTGTTCAGGGGTGTGGATTATTCACACCCCTGAGCAACGTAGTTATACCGAATTAATTCTGTAGTGTAGACCAGAGCTAAGTGGGAAAAAGAATTCCCTTTCTAAATTTAGGACAAAGTTACTGAAAGCGCATTGGCTATTAGATTAATTGGTTACCAGCAATGGGTCTAAAAGCTGCATGACAAAGTAACAGAAAGAAAACATCAGGAAAATAGCAAGTTTCACTTCACAGTTGGGTTTAAGAACCGTGAGAAAAATAAACATGCATTTCGAATGAACCTGAATTGTTTGTTAATAAGAGAAGAAGGCACCAGTATAATAAATCCAAGTGAAATAATCCAATGAGAAATAAATTATAAATAAATAAATAAAAAATTTTAAAAAATCAGTGAAGGCAATCGGTGTGTTTAACTGTTATTCACACCAGGAGTCAATATGCACCAGTAATTAGCAAAACCAGCAGATAAATGGATAGAAAGGTTAGCAAAAACTAACTTACTTGACTTGGAAAACACAAGATGTCACCATTATAATGAACATGATATAGAAAATGGGGTATGTTAGCTGCATTTTGCCCTTTGCAGAGAATGTTATCATGCCTGCCACAGCCTTTACTGAAATGATGGTCAATGATGCTGGAAGAGAGACAGAGAGAGATGTTAACAAGGTAGAATTATTCGCCTTTACCCCAGAGTGTCAGTGCTGCAGAAAGACATATTGATCAGCAGTCTATTTAAAAAGTTAGTTATGTTTTTAACCCTTCTTCTGATTTTCTTTTTAAACCAATAAAAGGTTTGAAATGCACATAACCACAAACAAAGCTTGCTTTAAAGGAAACTGAGCAGCAGTCTTCAGGCCAGCCGAGGAGGAGAAGCATTGCAGCATGACGTACTACCAGTTTGGAGAGCAGAATCAGGCTTCCTCATCACCTGAGCGAGTAAAAGTGCAGATGGCTAGACTAAAAGGCACTCACACTTTTCCTCTGGCGTGGGCTCTTGATTTGCCCCAGCCCTTGCTGCTGAAGCTCAGTTGTGGAGGTTACAATAACCTCACAGAAAATAGAACAAATTCAAAACATATGGGGTGGCAAGATGAGAGGAGTAACAGTGCACTCGTCACACTAAAGGAAAGTAATTAATAGCAGGGGACAAAGCCCCATCACTTGGATCTAATTCCAGGTTCTCCAAGAAGTTCAGATCCAAAGTTCCAATTTGCCCAACTACAGAGATAGCCCCCAGGTGCAAAATTCATATTGACATACAGTTCAGAACTTCCCAACACTCCGGACAGGAGGGCAGGGGAAGGGATTCAGATCTGGGGTTCTGTTCCAAGTATTTTGCTTAGAGCAACTCTGGCATGGGGTTTAAGTGGTGCATAGGCCTTGTGGTGGCCTATTTGAATTTCACCATTAGGGCCAAATTCAAGGATTTCCTTTGCTCCCCTTGAGTAGTACCTTACTTCTTGAACACTCCTATTCAAATCAATCGGATTGTTCAAGGTAGTACTCAAAGTGAGCAAAGGGAATCCTTGAATTTCTGGCCCATAATGAGTATGATATAAAAAAACCAACAAATCATCATGGTGATGTGTGGGGTTAAAAACCTCAGTCAGTTACAGGGTAGCATGTAGAAATTGGGCTTTCCAGATGAGGGCTGGATTGCTGAAAGGTGAAGAGATTTGTCATGATAGTGTGACAGACATGACAACATCCTACCACATCCTTGGGAGACCTAACCAAATTACATTTAAGTACCTTTGAGGTCCATTGTATTTAATGAATGATTTATGTATTCTTGTGGGCTGGGATTGTACGTAAACTCTCCAGGGGAGATGTAAGGTCTGGGGATTCAAAGAACTACACTGCAAATGTACAAGACAAGAATGGATTTTTGGGACAATAAGTGTTAAGTGGATTTTCTGGGGAAAACCTAGGCAGAGGTTAATGCAAATGGCAATCTCTAACTAAGTTTAGTGGACCACTGAAGTCTTAATACATATCTATAAAGGCAGTATAGGAAAATATGTTGCATTTATTAAGGCTTCAGTTCTGGAAAAAAAATATTCATATATAGGTGGGAGTAGAGGAATGCAGGCAGAAGGTCCCAGGCAGTTACACTGAAGAACTGCACACAAGCAGAGTGGTTAAGAGGTTTTCTGTTTTTGTTTTTAAATTAGTGATTTGTTTTCCTCGGCTAGTCCTGGTCACCAAAATATGTTCTAGACATATGGAGTTTCAACAGTCTCTGTAATTCATTCTTCCAGGGAGCTAATGATAAAGGATTACTTCAAATGGCAGAGACAAAAAGCCTTGGAATATCCATGCACAAGTCGGATTCACACAGAATCAAACTGCAAATCTAGAAAACCAAACAGTACTAGCAATAGGCATATAAAGTTTGTTGAGTAACTGGCTTTGCTTGTTAGAAAGAGACTTCATTGAAGCCATATAAAAACCTAAGGATTCCCCCTTCAGATTGTCCCTTTAAACACAGCACTGACATAAACTAACAGGGGACCGAGTGACAGAGAGTGGTCAAGTGAGAGAGAGAGAGGAATATTATACAAACAGAATAATATGTCCTTACCTAGTAGTGCTACCATCATTAACAAAACCACGATGTGCTTCACATCCTTTCTTTTGTAGAAATACAGAAGAATGCAGAATATTATTATTTCTAAGATCTGGAAAAAAAGGCAAGAAAGGTTAAGCTGTAAACAATATAACAAATGCGTCATTCAGATTCTTTAAAATGTCACATTGATCTACTCTGCTCAAACAGTTCAAGGGAGGATTGCTTTATTAAACATCTACTAAAAAGTAACTGGGACGCTCTGTACCTCGGGGGAACACCCAGCACCCCCTTGTTCATCCTTGTAAAATGATTGTGTGGTATCCAATGCAAAGTTTGTCATGTAGGGTGTCTTCAGAAGGCTCCTGATGCATTGAGCATGGTTGTTATAGTGATGTTATAGTAATTGTTACAGTACTGTTATAGGAATGTTATAGGTTATAATTTCATGCAGGGCCGGCTTCAGGCACCAGCTTAACAAGCAGGTGCTTGGGGCGGCCAAGGGAGAGGGGCGGCACCTGCAACAATTCGGGGTGGCAGGTCCCTCACTCCCTCTAGGAGTTAAGGACCTGCCGCTGAACTGCCGCCGCCGATCGCGGCTTTTTTTTT